GTCCTTTGGTATGATTGTGAGGTTAAGTTTCTGGCTTCAATCAAACATACAGTACCAAAACTTGCCAAAAACGTAACATGTGTTTTCTTTTGTTTTAACGCTCTTGCAGCCGAAAGGTTCCGAACCCCGCTCCGGGTCTTTTTTGGGCTTCATCATTCGCTGCGTCAGGGCGGCCAACGTCTCAATGTTGCTGAAACTGTACATGAGTCGAACCCAACCTGCACACAAATGGTCAGCCTTGCCCAAATGCTGACCGACAGGCTGGAAGTATAACTAGAGATTTCACAACATTGCAAACGGGAGCCGTGAACTGCAGCCACATCCTGTGCTTCTGTTTTCACTTTCAGCTGCTAGGATCTCACTTGGATCACAGCGGGCTATCGTAGGACAGCCGATTAGTCAAGGGTTGTCTTCAACGATGCGTGCGGCCTTCGATGGACATTGTACATCATCAGCAGCACGCTTGGATTTGCTTTTGCTTCCAGCCTGCTTCAACCGCTGCTGGCGCTCCTTCTCGCGGTCCTGACGCATTTTGTTGATCTGGGCCAACTCAGCTGCCAAGGCTTTCTTCTCTTGCTTCTCCTGGACTTTCTTCTCTCTACCATCCTCCTTCTGCATCTTCTGCTCTGATGTCTGGATATTCTTCAGTCCCTTCAATGTCTCGCTGGCTTTGGTCTTTTGCTCATGTAAAGCTGCCTTGCGCTCCTCTGCCAGCTCTTTCTCACGTTTCTTTGCTTCTTCTGCAGCTTTTTTGGCGGCCTCCTTTGCTTCAGCGGCCTCTTTTTTCTTGCGTTCCAAGTCCAGAAGTTTCTGATTTCCTTCCATGTGGGACTCCAAAACCTTCATCATCTTCTCAATCTCTCCCAAGCCTCCAACTGCCTTCTTTGTCTCCATGGCAGCTTCTGCCTTGGCTGTCTTCGCGGCCTTCAGCTTTTCCAATGCGACGTCCTCGCTTTGAAGGGCATTCTGCACCTTCTCAGAAACTTTGGCCACAGCATCCTTGGCTTCATCCTCTTGGTGGTTCAATAGTTGCTCTGCGCCCTCCGCATCGCAAACAGCAGCCTTGCATGCGGCCACCTTTGCCATGATCTCTGCCAGAACTTCATCGACGTCTTGCGTCTCCAGAAGTTTCTGGACCTTGGATCGAAGGCTCATTGGTCTTTGCTTCTTGGTCTTTGCCTCAGCATCTGGGTCTTCACCATTAGACGCATTTGTCTTTGCTTTGCTCTTGGCTTTAGCCTTTGCGGCCTTTGCCTTTGCTTTCCCGGCTCTGCCCTTTGCCTTAGCTCTTCCTTTGGCTTTCGCTTTGGCCTTGCCTTTTGCTTTGACCTTCACATTCTTCTCCACCTTCTCTTCCTCGTGCAAGGTGTCTTTCAACTCCACTTCAGCCATGAGATTGCCAGGGCAACAGCAAACAAACAATTGCGAAGGTGCTGCGAGCCAAAATGGTACTTCGGAACCAAATTGAATTCTAAAACTATACTTGAACCTTTGTGCATGACACGGGGTCCTCACAAAAAAAACAAAACCGCCCGCTCACAGCTTCAATCTGCTGTGGGCCAGCCAGTGCAATTCCACGCCACGCCCTCCACATCGGGTACCCTTTACATGCGTTCATGATCAGGTACTGTTTGAAGAGACCCGTGGAGTAGTTCTTTGCGTTTTGTTTTTCGGAAATGGAAGCGGTTCGTGTGCTTTAAAAACCTTTGCAAGTGCTTTGAGGGGATCGAACTGTTACACATGACCTGATGCTTTCTGGGTTTTTCACTTTGCTGTTTCAGAGTTTCAAACAAATGTTTGGGCCCAAAAAATATTGTGACTGGCAAACCATTTAAATCACATAAGACCTACAAGAATGTTCCTGCTCTTTGTGCTGTTGAGCAATCGCAATCGCAAAACAATAATTATATATTACAGTATAATTTTTTGTTGTTTGCATTCCATTCCATCACCCAGGTTTCAAACACATGTCATGTCACATGCAAACGCCTTGTGTCGCCTTTTAAACTAGAAACGCCGCTTGTTTGTGTTTCATATTTTCTGAACAATGGTTCAGTCCTCACAAACTTGGAACACGAAAACAAAACAAATTCACGTGCGAGGCAATGACCCAAACGAGGCAGTGAACAGGATGTTAGTGGTCCTTTATGTTTAAACACCAAACTTGGAATTTGTAGCCGACCTGCCCCCCCCCCCCGCGACACTGACTGCGCCAACAACTAGTCTTGTGCGAAGCTTGGGGCGCACCATATTGACCTTTCCACCGCAGTTAATCAAAAATAGAGTCTCTTGCTTAGCAAGCTGAGCGGATTAGGCAACACATTCATACGTCGTATGAATGCGAGGCTTCTCCGATTCGCCTCAAGCCAGGATGCGGGGCCCCGCACCGGAGAGAAAGGTGCCCTGCATCTCAAGCCAAGGGCATGTCCACAGAGTCCCACTCTCTGAATTCAGGTGGCAGGATTTGCAGGATACCATATACTGCGTGTTATGCAAGTATTCCACGTTCTCCTGGCTTTGCTGTGCCGTCATTTGTATTCATTTGTGTAATCATATTTCATGCGTTCCTCCCACGATTTTGCAAAATTCATCGGTTTATGGCAAAAAAACCGAGGCAAGTGAACTTTCAAGGAGCAACCAGGTTGCTCAACTTCGGCCCACGTGCTGCCCCGTGATGCCCCATGGGACAAGGATTGCGTAGTGAGCGCAATGACTGTTCTGGCCCAAGGGCGCACGCTCAGACCTGGACATTCTCAAGTCTGCATTCGATTGCCTGCAAGGGCCTGTGCATCAGTCCACCATTTGGTGGTGTTTTTGCGATCGTGATTCCCACGGCAGGCCATGTGCCAAGCGATGCATATTGCACAAAAAAAGGTCGAAAAACACACGTGCCAAGATCTCACGCTGCCAATGTCGTCCGACACCAGTGATCACAACCAACAGGTTTGCTCCTAAAAGATCCTGAAAGTTATGGCCTGCCGATCTGCCAGTTCTGTGACTAAACCTTTGGCGGACTTTTGGGAACTGTGCTCAAATTTTGCGCAAGCAGCAGCGCCGCTGACTGAAAGTCTGAGGGAAAACGCATACTTACTTGACATTGCGTGACACATTTGCATCCCCCCTCTTCCACACTCTGACACTTGTATTCCGTTAACGCAAGTTCACGATGGGAAGGAAGGTGATGGAACGGCAAGGTGCATGAGTCCGCAAAAACCGTATTGTTGAACAATGTTGGCAGCTGCACTCAAAAACGATCTGACACGCAAAGTCGGCTGCAAAGCGGCGCAAGGTGGCGGTGGGTTTGTGGGAGGTATCATGAAGAACCATGAAACAAGCCGTGGAAGAGTGGAGTAACAGCGTGTGAAGAACTTTGCAGGTACGTTCTCAAGGCGTCCCTCGAGAATATCCTGACGAATGGCTGGAGCTTCGTTGGATCAGGCCAAGCCAAACGTCCCTGATCCCCCTGCTTGCGAGAGGTGGTGGTGGAAAACCCTTTGTCCAGGGGTGGACACACACAACACACACACATGTAGGGGATACACTCCAACACGAAACTGCCTCTGAGCCCTTCTTGTGGCTGTTCTCTATGCATTGCCAGCTCTGAATCATGTCTCAAGAAGTTGTGCAGCTGGTTGCTCTCAAACGCTCCGGAAACTCATTCCAACACCTGGCCATCCAAGGGTTCAAGCCTCAGCCGTGAAAAACTGGTGGTCAAACCAGGAAAACATCAGACATCAGGACACTATGGATCCATGACACCTCTCAACTCTCTTCAACCAATTGTTGGCTTGCACTGGTCCCGCCTACCTTCCTTGAGTTCGGAACATCACACGCAGTGCAGTGGTGGCAATGTTGTTGGGAGCTTGCTCGCATCAATGCCCAATTGCAAAATCTTCTTTGCATTCTTCCTGGGATGCGATCGCGTGTAAAGCTTCAGGCTGGACTGGATGAAGAATGCATCGCTTTCTTCATCAAGAAGCCCAAAAGGCCAAAGACTGTTGAAAAAAGCTGGCTTACTGCCATCCACCGCCCCCACCGCAAGAAAAACGAATACTGATGCCCAAAGGTCATCTTTGATCTCGGAATCATCAATGGTACGCTGCCTGGACAGATTGAGGCTCAGGTCCACAGCGCAAGCCGTGTCACATGTTGGGTTTGAACTGGTCCAATACTTGCTCTTTCGTTGTGTGGATGGGTTGGGCACTGACATTCAACCGTCGAAGCGCAGCTGCACACCGTCTCTCCAATGGTATCAGTCACAAAACACATGCATGATGCAAGATGCTCAAAGCAAGCATCAATCTATATCAATCTTGTACGAGTATATGCCAGTCGGTGGGGCTCCATTGGCTCACCTGAAATGCCGGTACACCGCTTGCTGTCGAGCTGCTCGTCGTCTTCATGACTGGCGCAAGCGGCAATTGTTCTGCTGTTTGCGCCTCAAGGGTCTCTTCAAGCTGGCGTCAACCGGTTCTCGGACACAACCTCTCTGATAGAGCTATTGAATCGATTTCACATCGGCTCTAGGTGGCTCTAGCCATTTGGGTGTGTGAGAACCATTCAATTTCTGCATGTTGTATGGCAATCCATGCTGGTCTGGAGGCACACATGACATCGCACAAGCGCAAGAACAAAGCACGCAATCTGCTACAATCCAATGCATTTTCACATTCAAGATGCGTTGAGCCTACAGTACTTAATCACGTTCCAAGGCACTTGTTTCAGCGTAGGCAGCAACCGTGGGGTTTCCAGGTTCTTACTGCGATGCTCTTGCAACAGATTAAGTGCATGGTGCCTCGGACTCATCACATCGCTGCGTCGGAACCGTCGCTAGGCTGATGGAGGGCCAGGGAGGTTGGTCTCGTGATTCCAAACCCATGTTCTTTAGCAAGGGCAGCCTGCCCCTTTTTCTCGCGGATGAGCATGGCAAGCAACATATTTTGTGGTGCTCTGACATTGTTGCTCTTGTTCCCCTAGGCAATCTCAATGCTTAAACTTTATTATATAATGTTCAAAGTCGGACGATGGAAAGCTGGAGTCGTGCCGCTGCAGCTAGGAGACATCAATTGCTGGCTGCTCTCTTGTGAGAGTGCCAAATCCATGCTGCCGCGGTTGAAATCCGCCAGCGCCTTCAGGGGCTTACGGTTGGCCCTGATTGACACTGTAGGTTGTCTGTCTGGAGGCCAGGAGTTGACCAACCTGCAAGACTGTGTGCTATCGTTTGGATCAGGATCATTCGGGCGGCTAATTGTACTGTTGCAGTTGAATCCTTGGGCCCTTGAGTCTCCACAACCATATGGCTAAAGCTTCTTGCGATCAGGGCCAAAGGCCCACCTCTAAACCCCACACTCGGGAGTGTCAAAAGAGGCCTACAGTAAGCCAGGAGACCGACCCATCCCAAAGCCAGGAGACACCTGCAACACCTTCGCCACTCGCAGAACTCGTGCCAATTGAGGATGTCCCTTCAGGAGGGAAACGAGTGGTTTCAAGGCTCCTGAGTGAATGGCTGTGGAAGGCAGCACTTGGGGGTATCTGATGATCAGGCATGGACAGAATGTGCAAACTTCCCGTCCTTTTGCCAAAATTACGGTTCCTGTCTTCTCAGTAGAAGCCAGCACACAGAGAGTTCGTGAAGCATGAGAGGAGCCTTTGCCAAACGCTCCGGGCTGAAACATTTCAAGGACTGATTGTCACAAAAAAGAAAGATTTACCATTGTCTGTCGCAGAAAAGCTGGGATAAGGCTCACACACTGGTCGTGATTAGACGCCAGTAAGTCCTTGGTTGAGGATTGCATGGTGGCAGTTCAAATCAAAGGGTCTCATATAAACCCTCAAGAACCTCCAGAACTCCTCAGCCAAAGCGCTAACAGTGGCTCCAAAATGTCTGACTCCAAGAGGTGCATGGCAATCTTCTTGAACAGGCCTCGGTATAGTAGCGTCCTTGTTCCTAGTAGTGAGGCCAGGAGCGCCCCTAGCAGCATCTTTGCTCCTAGTACTAGTGCAAGTCAAGTACTCTCAATGATTTCCCACGATAAGTTTCATGCACTTTCTATCGCCTTCCACCGCCCCAACTTGGCCACGCGCGTCGGTCGGTTGCATTCGCCAGCTCACCAATGGCATTTGCAGCTTCTGCTTTGCAGTCGAACTTGCCTTGCTGAAGCAGACCTCAGCGTGCCGCATCCGACCAAAGCTCCCCCGAATCATCGGCCCCAACTCATTCGACCACGTCGGCTGCGCATCGGGCCCGTCCCATGCAGTGAAGTTGCGATGCAACGGTTGGACCATCTCAGCTTCCTGGGGTGGTGATGTTGCGTCACCCGATGCAAACGAATGCGTCGATGATGCCTCGACCCCTTCGGTTTTCCACATGTTCAAAGATCGAATGCCCAGGACCGTGTCGCAGGCCAAGCTGCTATCAACACCTGTCGTCGGTCATCTGCACCAGCTATGCGCGAGATGGCGAAGGCCGCCTGGAGACGAACCTTGGATCGCGCGACCTTCCCCATCCACGGCGGGGACCACATCACTGGGGCACTTAGTCGCTTCAAAGTTCATCAGCATTCGCCTGGTTAATTGTGGACTGAGAAAAAATTGAAAAGGGTACAATCTTTCAATATCTTCAGCGGGAGTTTATGTTCGTTTTAGCAGGACATGTTTTGTGGTGACTGGTTCCTTCCGGTTAAAGGGGCAGGAACACTTGCTTGTGGGGCTGTCACGGGGAGGGGGGTTGGGGGAAGTGTTCAGTCCCTCCCCACGAGCACCGCACAAAATGTTCAGTCACTCGAAGGCACCAAAAGCCGCCGGAAGCGACGACCAAACCAAACCCCACAAAAAAAAGAATCCCGGAATCCCCGTAAAAACATCTAAGATGCACACGCCTTGAGATGATTTTCGTCGAGTGCATGCTGTTGCAATTTTCTGCTACATGATCCTCTCAGGGAGTGCCTGCGGTGCTTTAATCCCCACTATTTTAAGTCATTCCATCTACAGGCATTCTTTCATATTCTTTCACTTTGGTCGCTCTATGCTGCCACTTTGCGTTCTCGTCTGAATCTTGCAATAGCTGGCGCAAACGTGGCAAGGCGGCATCCATGACCATTTCTGCCACATCCTGCCACAAGCAGAGCACATCAGGGCAGTGCTAAACAGCTAGAGCTGCAAATCGCCCAAGCCTGGTCAGCCGCAAGGCAGCCCAGCAAGCGGATCTCAGTCACAGGCGTCAGAACATGGAGTCGAAATGCGTCAAACGTCACAAATGAATGGAATGGACGAGAGAAGAGTAGAAAGTTGACTAAACTTATATCACATCTAATTATCGTGGTTCACTGTTTTCATTGTTTTGGCTGTTCAGTTTAAGAAACCAGCAACTCCCTCAAATATACCACATCAAGAATGATATCACATTGACCTACTTCGACCAAGTTGCGGCAGCTGACAAGCTCTTAGGTGAAGTGCTCTGCAGCATTGCCAAAAGCCATGAAACTACACCTCAGCCAAAAGAAGCAATCTGGTGCCTCCTTGCCAAACGCATCAGAATCAGGGACGAACATGGTGCCACCACATCATGCATCAACAACACCCGCGACTCAAAGTGCCCAAATGCGACCAGTCGCCACCCGCCACCAACTCCTCACGAACCTGGATGGTACACAATGCTCTCAAGATCCATCAAAACAAAAAGCCTAGGAAACCGTGCAAGAAATGCTTACTGCTTGTACTGTATACTACAGTAAGTACACTGTATACCTCAGATCCGTCTGGTCTCTGTGTGTGTGTCCAGCCCACCCCGTGATTTCGTCTACAGCGCCTGCGCCTCGCTTGGTCGATATGCGAGAAATTGGACCCCTCGGCGTGCCTTCTCGATAGAAGCGACGTTCAGCAGGGCCCCCATGGACTCCTACAGTAACAAGTGCATCGCTATATATTAGCAACAAGGGCATCGCTACTAGTAACCAAACATCAAACGATTGCGGATAGCCGATGATAGCCGGATTCGGCCCGCTGAGCTTGCCTTCTGTGCTGGACGCAGCCGAACCTGCATCTTCAACCTCCCTTTCCCCCGAACAGAATCCAACAGCCACCAAGTGAACAGCTTGAGTACTTAACCTGCTCTAAAGGCCAACAGCCGACGTGAAAGTCTTCCTGCGATGAACTGACGTGAAAACCAGAGTGCGCACTCCTTTCAATACGAGTGCAACTCAGCCCCTGATCATGGATCTTTACAATAACCACTAGTGTTTGCCTGCCTTTTCTGAGTTTCTCCTCTTTGCAGTATGCAGTGCCCTCGAAAAAGAGCTGCATCAAAGACTGCACTCCACCTGCCACTGAACTCTGGACCCCCCAACAGCACCATGCATATCCAATGCTTAGGCGCAGGTCAAAGCCATGAAAAGTATCAGATTAAGCTTCAAGTGCACACACAAGCCAAACGTTTAGACGACGTGAAACCTATGAGACACGATGCAGAAGCTGACGAACCCATCAGAAGATCATGTCAGATGCAATGAGGTTTGACAAACATCCCCAACAATTATGAGATGAAGCGGCAAAGTCTCGAGCGACCACCGAACACGAAAAATGGTTGAGTTCGCGGTTTGGGGGCACCCCTAGGTGCGCACCTTTGTCGCTAGTCTGGTGTCACAAGCACCCGCATGACAACTTGAACATTCTGGGAGTTGGATATGGTTGGTAAAGGCACAACTGCATGGCAAACTTGGGAAACTTGTGACATGTGGGTCTTGTTGGCAGTCGTGAAGCCTTGTGGCCATCCCTGCATTGATATCTACTGTGATGTATCGAACGGTAAAGCAACAAACACAATGATTTCCAGCACAGTGTCATTGAATCCCAAAACATGAAGCCTGATGTCACGAGGATCCTTTGACCCACAGAGCACTGCCCCAAGTTGGACAGCGCCGCAGCTGCCTGGTGAGCAAAACGACACGAATTATGGCCAACAAGGTGGGCCCCAAGAATTTCCAACTCACGGGGAATCATGGGAGACAAATTCCTGAAACTCACACTTCTGCTTAGTTGTAACACTGCAAATGCGGCCACTGCATTCTATCAGGCGTGGTTGAAAAGTCATTCATTCAGCAATCTCCGCGTGTGAAAGGCTTAAAACTGTGATCATCTTGAACACTTTGAACACCTTGCCTTGCATCTAGTGTCCATAGATCCGTCGGAGAGAAGTGACACCAGCGGCTGGACAATTCCAGCAGCTACGAAGCGAGATCGAATGCCCTCCGATGTCCTTGGATGTTGAGGAGTTGATTGGCTTTCCGACATATTGCAAGGCCTTGTCTCAGCAATTTGCTTCATCAGCATGCTAGGGTTCGTTCACGGACGTTCTGTGGCGGTGAGGCAAAACGCGGTAAAGCCGGCACATCTGTTTCTACTAGACCAACTGCGCCTTTTTGGCTTAAAAAGTGACCCTCATCTTTTTTCAATCTTTTTTCCTCGGCCAGGCCGCAGAATCTGATCCAACGAAGCCACGGCATTGGCCGCTTCTTCAGCGGTACCCCATGTCATTGCCTGAACCTCACAGTGAAGGACGGGAGGGTGAAGCCACAGCGCAGATGTGGGACAAAGGGACAACGGGATGTTGCAACAAACCAGACCAATAGCAGCAAGATTTCGCGACGGCAAAATGCTAACAAAATGCTAACCAATAGCAGTTTAGACCAAACTTACCCCTTCACTCTGGAGTATTTGTTCGAAGACCTCACGGGATACATAGACTGGCACCAAATGCCCGCGAGCCCATATACTTAAAACTAATTGTATATCAGCCAGATCAAATCTTTAATATTAACACGACCATGCCTCGATCCTATAGTCTAGGGAGTCTAGGGTTTGCACACAAAGAGGCGTACAAGTAGACAGAAACGGTTTCGATCACATGTGCCGCATTTATACGCACCTCTAAACAGCTCGATGGCCTATCCCTTTTTGGAGGGCACTATTCAACAAACTCCCAGCTGGACTGAGGCGTGGGCAACGTCGCGTGGGTTGTTGCCTGAAGGAACTGGTGGACAGAACTGCCGTTCGATCCTCCAAACTGCTGTTCGATAACTGAGTGTAGGGAGGGTCACTATGTCATCTATGTCATCGTTCTCAAACACTTGAGGCCAGAGGGGGTGAACGAAAATGAACGAAAGCTAGCTAGGGGGTGAACGAGAGTCTGGTCATCAGGGATGGGCGCTGCTGCGCTGGGTGCTCTGCTGGCGCCGGGTCGGCTGCTGCTGCTGCTGCTGCTGGCGCTGGGTGGTCTGCTGCTGCTGCTGCGGCGGTGGGTGCTCTGCTGCTGCTGCTGCGGCGCTGGTTGGTATGCTGCTGCTGCTGGTGCTGCTGCTGCCGCTGCTGCGCTGGGCGCTGCTGCGCTGGGTGCTCTGCTGGCGCCGGGTCGTCTGCTGCTGCTGCTGCTGCTGGCGCTGGGTGGTCTGCTGCTGCTGCTGCTGCTCTGGGTCTGCTGCTTCTGCTGCTGCTGCTCCTTTGTGGTTTGCTGCAGCTGCTTGGTGGTCCCGCTCACCGCGCGCAGGGGGGAGTCGAACCCGCGGGGGGGGGGGTCCATAAGATTGATTTAATCAATTATTTGAGGTTTCTGAGGTGCGTCCACCCCGTCACTTAACTTGCTAAAGCAAGAGCAACTCCAGCTTGCTAAGGCTAGCTTTCGTGATCAACCACGATCACTGTACTGTCCAGTGCAATGCCAAGCCGATCCAGTGATCCAGTATTGTTCATGGAGCATGCAATTTTATCCACATCTGTTCAGCCATGGGTCATGGGTGCACAGAAGCTCAAGGGTCAAGGGCTCTGACACAAAAAACTGCCCTTGTATCTCAGCCAAGGTGCTGTCAAACACCATTGGCTGTTTTTTCGTTGCACTCGATTCCTGGCAGTTGCATCTGCAAAAAATGCAAAGTCACTCAAGGCCAGTCAGGGTAATTTAGAGCTTTGACGTTGACACATCCGGAACGTATGAAAGGGCCTACTCTATGCCAGACTTGATCAAGGTATGAAGCTGCACACAAAAGATTCTGATTGATTCTGGGCTGCACCTGAAAGACTGGTGGGACGATGAGCTCCTTTGTGGCAAAGACGTGCCATCCAAAGTCACAAGACCAATCACACATATTTGTGCTGGAAATTTGCCAAAAGGAGCTGAATCTTTGGACGCAAGCGTCCGAATGAGACTAGATATTGTGATTGAATGTTCTGTATAACTTCAGCCTTGACCTCTATGCTTAATCCTGGAACTATTCCTTAGCGTCCAGATTTGTATCTGTTCTTGTGTTTCTATATCGTGCAGTTCCAACTGCAAGCCCAGAAGCTAGCCGAAGAGTGCCAGCTTTCCGACCTCTCAGCATGAGCACAAGGCCTCCATTGAAGCCTCCTGGACTCACCTCGGACGTATCTCCAAGAAAAACTTGAAGTACTGCAGTTCTTTAGCCTTTTCCTAAATCAACAATCTTTCAACGCTTCCGCTCAGTGAGTGCTGTACTACCAGCTTCGCATCTCCCAAGAACTCCTTGGTACTAGCGGGACATTCGAGCTCTCGGTGCTGCGACATGTGCTTGTATCATGCATTAATAACGTCTATAAAATGTCTTCGGGCTCTGCTGGGTTGCACACACGCACACACCAAGGGATTGGAGCTTCAGCAGTGTTGCCATGTAAATGCAGAAAGCAGCCCATGACATCTGGTGACGATACACGAAGTATACATTGTCAAGCATGTTGCCTGAGCCTGGGGGTCTCCTTGAGAAAGCCTCCAACGAGCAAGGTAGAGGCACCACCAGAAAGAAATCAAAACACACACACACAAATGGTTCCCAGCATGCAAATTCCGTCTACTCAGATTCCATCCAAACTTTGAAGCGACGTCCGACGTACTAAACATCCAGCATAGTTTCATCGTCTTTGTGCTCTTCTTGACTCATGACCTTGAAGTGCATGGTCTCACCTGCCAACAAAAGCAAAGCGTTGTTCTTCCGCAAGACGCGTTGACATCTTCCCCAATCCCTTAAAGGCTTAAAGGCGATCATGCAATGCATGATTGGCTGTGTTGCTGACAATGGACGTTTCATCCCTTTTCATCTTCGTCTCCCTCTCCCCTCACTGCTCGGCCGCCATTCCAACCCTATGTGCTATCTTTCCAGCCTAGCTCCAAACCTTCAAGATCCTTGCGCAAATACAGCAGCGATGGTCAAAGTCCAGCTTGGAAAGCTAAAAGATCAATCCCCCAGAATGCAACAAGCATCTTACAAGGAGGGCTGTCTGGAAACTTGACAACCTTGCAAGCTCCTGCGTTTCGTGCCACACTGGGTCAAGGCTTTTAAACCTGGCAAGCCAGTGCGCCACACCAAACCTCTCTCAAGAGCGTGTCAGGTTGTCATAATTTAGATTAATTTAGTAATTCATTGAATGCAAACTGGCCCTTGATAAAGGATGCTTCCTGCCTGGTCTGGGTTCGAAAGCCTAATTTCTGCCTCCCCGAGACTTTGCAAACAACATACCTTGGAGTGAGAACGACGCAATAACACACCACTGGCAACCGGACCCAGGACGCGGACTGCAAATCCAAAGAACAAATCCCAAATCTTCTCACTCTCAACCCAAGTCACGGGTTGGAATTGTCATCGAGGTCGGCTGCTCGCAATCCAACGCCTCCCCAACCATCGATCCGATCAGCGGAAGGAGGGGCGCGAGTGCAAAAGGATCACCGGAAAAACCGTCCCTATTTTTCATGGGCGAACTGCTCGACTCCAAAGTGCACCGCCGGTGTTCGGCAACGAATGATCTACGGTTCCTTCAAATGCTCACTTAGATCCAAAACAGGTTTCCCTTGGATCGCAAAAAGAGTGACGACACCGGGCGATACCATGGTGTCACGGGCTTTGAGACATCGAAGCTCCCACGGGGAAATTTCATCACGCTGGCCCCGAGCATGGCTTCATCTAAACAAGCTCCATGTCTTCAAAAGGCCGGCGGCCGCCGGTGGCCCACTAAAACTGCATTAATTTCACTTCTCAAATCATCTCAAATCTCTGCCTCACAAGCTTCTCTCTTTGCCACCCTGGATGTGTTCCAGTTCTGGGCCAATCGCCCAACGGCTATCACCGAGGCACATCCGCTGGCCAGGCTCAACACCAAGGCTGTCTGCTGCACTGCATTGATGATGAGATCAGGCCAGTCAATAAAATTGAATTTGCCGAGGTTCATCAGGTTTTCTGGGTCGCTAAGCTCTACAAAAATCCCCAGGAGCGCCCAGCAAGCCACCAATGCAATGATAGGATCTGCCCGTGGAGCTGCCAAAGCGAATAGTGCCACAAGCACTGCGATAGTGCAAAGCGATACCTGCCAGTCTCAAATCGAGCAGCATCATGCAAGCACCCGGTATACCCGGTATAGGTATAGTGTATACACGGGAGAGAGAGAAAAAGAAAGAGAGAGAGAGAGAGAGAGCGGAGGAAGGTAAAGGCATCACCCAGGACCAACAACCCTGACTCCTCTCGATTCAAAGCCCACCGTTGCACGCCCTGAGAACAAGTACATCATCTGTCACTTGTCGTCATCTAGTAGATTCTAGTAACTAGTAGTATCGTGTGCTCTCCGCCCAATCGCAAACGTTCTATTCAAATGTTCACCAGGCCCATGTCATGACATGCCCATGCTGCACCCATGGAGTATGTAGACTCGAGGGGGCTGAATGTTTTGGAACTTTGTTTGCATTTCAGTGGTCATTTCCATGGCTTGTTTATCGATCCCTGATTTGTCTATGCCCGGTGTGGAACTTGCCTTCGATCGTGTGCAGCGATGGAGTCAGGGGACTGCACGCATGGATGGCAACAGCCGCTAGGGCCCCCGTAGGTTCAAATGCAGTCTATCTTTGAAGGCCAAAAGTCTAGAGTAAGAGCTTGGGGTGGTCGGTAGTCGGTGGATTGACGGTTGTTGCACATGTTTAGGTGTCCATACATCCAGGAACACTGGAGAAAGCTAAGGACTAAACAAGCCAGAACATAGCAAAAGCAGCTACTAAGTACCTACCAAACCAACAAAACGAGGCTACTTTCGAAAGTCTGACTAGCTTCTACCAACCAAATTGCCATGGCAAGCATCAGCAGCCCCGTGTCAGATGTCCTGTAGTAATCAGCAACAACATTGGTGTTCAAGGCGCTTGCTGCTATGATCCACCCACTGTGTAAAGAGAACGGTGCCCGCAGCAAGAAGTACTCCTTCACAGAGATGTCTGGCAGGTAGTCTGTGCGGAGGATCCCGATGAGCAAACTTAGGAGAATGCCTAGCATACAGGCAAGAGACACAGGAATGATCTCCTGTGCAAAGAACACAGTCCAGGCAACTTGGAAGCAGCATGCGCAAATCCACCAGGGTGTCATGGTCTCGACAACAGCGCTGCTACCTAAAGTTGGAAACATTTGTGCCACTGCGAAGACCCCCTCCCAAATGAAGATCGGCCCCCAGATGGAAAATGCGTAGCCAGCAGGAGTGACCAGGGTCTGGTACTTCTCGCTCAACTTGGTGTTGGTCTTGCCAAAGGCCCCTGTTAACGAGCCATACGTGACACCCAGGTTCATCGCGTAAGCCACCAAGTTCATCCATGATTGGACTCGCGCACGGCACACTATTCGCTGCATCATCAAGCGCCCAGCTCCCATGGTTCAGCTCAAGAGGGAAGTATGTAATCAAGCCAAATGACACAAACGGCTTGAGGTGAAATGCGCACCCGACGGAAATGAACAACCACACTACACTAACAACCGTCGATTTGAACAGCAAATCATGCATTTCCTGCTTCTGGGGTGGTGGTTGTTCAAAGTTCCAGTGCTGGATGCAACAGGCCCCACATGCCATCCTCCTCATGCCACAAATAAAGCTGCTCCCAGAAGCCTTTGATTGCAGCCAATACTACATTGTCCCTCTTCGTGTCGTGTCTTTTGCTAGCTGCTAGCTTTTGCATTCTGCACTCATCGCGATCCTGTAATGATGCGAGAGAGAAAATAGTGGGCTTGCTGCCAGGCTTTTCTGAGCGGCCCGCGCAAAAAATTGCCCAACCACTGTCAGGCAGCCACTGAGGAGCGTTTCCTTCACACAGTGGCTGCAAGCTTTCAGTGGGCTGTATGTGACAGGCTCACAGCTGCTTTAAAGCTGCAAAATGCCCGCCATGAGGTTTGGCCAGGTGACACGCTTTGCATGAAAATTGCTTAGATCTCAGCATGCCCGGTGTCAGCCATGAATGATTTTTGCCGCTTCACTGCCTTGCAGGTCCAAACACTACGAACAATTGCCACTGCGGCTCCGACGGCACTGGCTACACTCAGCACCAGAGCGGTTTGCCTCACCGCCTCCAAGACCCAGTGTGGCCAGTCGATGAAGTTCCATTTGGCATCGTTCATGAGGTTCTCGGGGTTTCCAAGTTCATTGAAAATACCCAAGAGCGCCCAACAAGCCACCAAAGGAATGATGGGATCCGCCCTTGGAGCTGCCAAAGCAAAGAGTGCCACAAGGACTGCGATAGTGCAAAGCGATACCTGTGAAGTCACAAGCACCTTCCAATACGGTACTATAGTCTTGAAGTAAGTGACACAAAGCCCAAGAGGTCGTTTATGTAGCTTCTTATGTCAAGTGGTCTATGGGCCATCTGAATCTGTTTTGAACCCGCTGTCTGTTCCAATTTTACGAAGAGGACATTGGTTGCCAAATGTGGCCAAATAGTGGCCGTGGACGTGCCTCTTTTTCTTAGAACAGGCACCATGTTTTCATCTCGTGTGGAGCTTCCTGTTCACATTGCTGCTGCTCGTGGTGTAGAAACTAAAACAGCCGCCCAAGATTAAACACAAGTGACACTTGTCACGTTTTGGAAATTATATGAAATTATCTGGAACTTCAGGGGGCAAATGTTAGGGATACGGTTGAAGGTTGGAGAGAGGATTGGTTTTCAAAGTTTCACTTAAGCGTGGGTTTGTCCGTTTTTGATGCTTTTGAGGTATGCTCTGGGGGGTAGAGAAAACAACAACGAGGCTCCAGCTCCAGTCTTAGATTCTACTCCATGGTAGGGACAATCTAGTTGACGGGGCTGCAGCTTTTGTTGTACCGTGTTCTTGTTCTTGTTCTTACTGTTGGCGTTTGCCTAAGAATATTACTCAGAGCTGCTGTATCATTACATGATGTAATTATATATGTAACATCGTCATGGTTTCAAGTCAGTGTTTCATGATTAATGATGACATCCTGCTAGCCAAATCGCCATGGCAAGCATCAGCAGCCCCGTGTCAGATGTCCTGTAGTAATCAGCAACAACGTTGGTGTTCAAGGCGCTTGCTGCTATGATCCACCCACTGTGTAAAGAGAACGGTGCCCGCAGCAAGAAGTACTCCTTCACTGAGATGTCTGGCAGGTAGTCTGTGCGGAGGATCCCGATGAGCAAACTTAGGAGAATGCCTAGCATACAGGCAAGAGACACAGGAATGATCTCCTGTGCAAAGAACACAGTCCAGGCAACTTGGAAGCAGCATGCGCAAATCCACCAGGGTGTCATGGTCTCGACAACAGCGCTGCTACCTAAAGTTGGAAACATTTGTGCCACTGCGAAGACGCCCTCCCAAATGAAGATCGGCCCCCAGATGGAAAATGCATAGCCAGCAGGAGTGACCAGGGTCTGGTACTTTTCGCTCAACTCGGTGTTGGTCTTGCCAAAGGCCCCTGTTAAGGAGCCATACGTGACACCCAGGTTCACTGCGTAAGCCACCAAGTTGATCCAGGATTGGACTCGCACACCGCACACCATTCTCTGCAGAGAGAGGGGGAGTATTGGGCGGATGTTAGGCACTATGCTTGAGCCTATGCGGCCTACGTGCAAGGCTTCAGACTGTTTGCCTCAGACACTTCAAGTTCATCATAGGAGGCTGGTAGTTCAATGAAATGTGTTTGATTTTTCATCTGCATCAAAGCAACAAAGCAAAGGGACACAAACGCCTTGGTGAATGAAGCAGCCACATCTGGTGATCGAAATCTCCGGTTTTCCGAAGTTGGATCGCCAGCTGTGGTCTTTGCCTCAGTGGCTCTCAGGCTCTCAAAATGTCCGCCAAATCCAAAGGACGCCGCTTGTCACGGACGGAGATGATAATTCTAGTACAAGTACCATGTGAAGCCGGTCATCCAGCACTCTGACGATTGAACTGCCGGCCTTCGTTCTCGGTCCTTCTTGCTCGCTCTGTGCTCAGATCCCGACTATTTGGCAAACGGTCTCCAGAAAATGACGTCTCTGCCCAAATGACTTCCTGTGCAAGACGTCTCATGTCATACAATACCACGCGGATCCCCTTGATCGGTTCACACCACAAGCTCTAAGGAAGCACTTCGGCAAACTTCTGTTCGGCCTCGCCATGAAGCTCTGGACCTAAGCACCATCGCCTCTCACCTAAGCGGTAGATGTAGGCGCCTCCTGCGGCAAGATGCATACGCTCTGGACTTGGACCCATACCTTGTATCGCTTTGGAAGTCCGTCAAGCATTGCAAATCTAACAGCATATTATTTTGTGTTGAGTCCTCCAACCTTTTGGAAAAAACGTGGCTGATCTGCGTGGTCTGCCTTATTGAAAGCACGCTTGCAATCCCCTGCAACAAATCCATGTGTCTCTAACAGTGTTTCTCGGATGCAACCAAGGTACTTCTGGTTTCTTCTCCTGAAAATTACCGAGGCCAGCTCGTGCTGCACTATTCAGCCCCCTGCGCGCGGTGAGCAAGCATGGCTGAGCGTGCATCTGCCGTGCTTTTGACGCGGGCCGTGGTCTTGCCACCAACCGCTCATGCGCCTTACGCGAGCAGCAGCTGGCAGCTCCTTGGAGCCTGAAGCGGAGACTAGGGAAGCCCACAGAACTTTGTTGTGGCCAGTTGGGCTAGTGGTCAGATCCAATTGGAAAGCAAGATTCGTGTACGAAAGGGGCGAAGGAGTCGGAAACGGCACCTGTGCAGAAAATGTTATTCTTCGTTGTCAATTGGCATTGGTGTGCGGTTCGACGAACTGTCCCAGGTCCCAAGCCACTAAAAGCGACCGTCGATGTGCAGGCGGACCACGGCACCAAGATTGAGATCCAGGCCACGCCGCCGGGAAGGGTCTATAATGAAATATGGTCCAAATTCCAAACACATATCGTGGGTTAGCTTGGGACTCCCTAAACTGGATCTACACTGTCGGACTCCAGCGACTCCAGCTCTTCTGTCAGGGCCGCGGGTGCTAGCCCGCTAAATATGTTATGCTGTAGGTGCTTCGGGGGATTTCACAGGAAGCTTCGGCACGTTCCGGGGTTGCTGTGAATTTCAGACCCGGCCCGACACTTAGCAGTTTTGCCTGTAAGTTCTTGGGTCAATTCCACTTTTTGGAGAGAATATTTAACTTTGCTTCTCAATACCTCTAATCCCACCAGTGCGCTTTTTTGATCTACGGCGTGAACACCTTCTTTTGGAGTCACAACAGCTTTATATATTTGAGTCTGCGGACGTTGTTTTAGTTTTCTGACTTCTATATGATATTCCCTGGGCGCACACCTGTTGCTACTGTCGAACGGCAATTGTATGTATCTGGTGCATGTTTGGACTGATGATGGCTGATTTCTAGAGTCTAGCGATGATCACCGGGTTTGAAAGGGAGGGGGAGGGGGGGTCAGAATTTACATGTGTCCTAAATGTATGCAGGTAGGGAGATGCATTTTTCTCTTTTTTCGAACAGGGGGGTTGACACATGGAAAAGGAGGCATGAACATAAATATTATATATATATGTTTAACATATCATATAATATACAGTACATTTCTCTTTCTCTCGGTCTTTCCGTACACCCTCATGCGTCTTCATGCGTCTCCATGCGTCTTCATGCGTCTGCATGCGTCTTCGTACCTCTTCATGCTTCTTCATACGTCTTCATGCGTCTTCGCCAATAATTAGAACCCCTCTATCGCCAACAATGTGTTTCTGAAACACTGGTTCCAGGAACTACATGTCCAGGCATTCGCGGCCATTGTATAAACAGGAGGAAATCATCAAGAAAGCTGCCCATTTTCAGGAAATCCCAGCAAGTATATTTTCGAAACTGCTCTCGGGAAGCATACTTTTGTCAAGGAAATGTGTGAAAAGGGGCAGGGGACATCCATAATTATCATTTCATCAACATCATCAACCAACAACATGTATAAAGTCATTTCCCGGGAATGACATCTGGACACCGAGGAGATGTATAGTTATTGTCGGAGTGCTCCCCCTCCCAATATACATCGAATGTCCGGGTGATGTCTAGCGGCCAGTCTCACGTCAGTTGGGCGCCATTCAGCGCTGTTCAGCCCTTCGATTTTACAGCGCCGACAAGTCTTTCCGGCCTTGCAGCCACAGCAAGGAAGCTGCTTTAGAGTAGACTGTGGTGGTCCTGAGCGGCATGTGGTGAAGAGCAGTCTTCCTAAATATCTACCGGCCCTGTGGCTGGTGCATGAGAAAGTTGCGGTGGGTTGCAGGGGCGTCTGATAAATGGCAACTGTGTTCGATATGGGAGAACCCATTCCAACTTGTAACAAGGATGGCGAATGCGGTATAAAGACCAGCCGAAAGCAGCGCCGTACACAAATTGCCTGATTTCTGAAAACTTTATATATTACAAATTCTGTTCAAGTGTGTGTGGAAGCAAGACAAGCCAGTTGACCAGCAGCCACCTGCTAACGAGGAGCGCATTGGAGCTTTTCATTTCCGGGGCCAGGCGCAACTAGTTTCTGAGCCAAATGTGCATATCCATGCTTGCATCTCATCTCTGGCTTGAAGAACAAAAGGGTGTATCGACATCATGCCATTCTGCGGCATCGTTATCATCATTACTATATTTGATTATATTTGTCATTATTGCAGGACTGACAAGCAGGCACGTCATTTTCCAACTCACAGTACTGGACGTGCTGGAGGAATGTCACCACTACCGTTCGATTCGCCGATGCTTCTCGTCGATTCGTGGATCACAGCTTCTCCAGAGCTGATGAGGGTGGCGGTGCGGCTGAGCGCTATCCCGTCAAGTAGCGACGGAGCTTGTTCAGCGGAATGAAGATCTCCCTAACCTCCTCCTGAAAACCAAAGAAAACAGTGGTTGGAGTTGATACTTGACCTTTTTCTTAATGTGGTCCCGCCTCCATTCTACAGTGTACAAGTTCCTCACTCTTGCTTCAGTGGCTTAAGCAAAAACAATAACTATGTGCATGATTGGACATATTGATTTGTGGCGGGTCCTTCGAGAGGTGCTCCCTAGGACCCATCGGCAAGGTCCTGCAATGAACAACTCACAATTACAATTTTATAAGCTAAGAAGTAGGAACATGCAAATAAGAGCAGGGGCAACGGGGCAATGAGGAACAATCGTACAGCCAAGGTGAGATTAATTTAAACAGAAAAGGATTGAACAAGCAAGGGAAGATCTACTATGATTTACTATGTCTATCAGTGAGGCAGGGGCGTGCTTGATAGCCACGGTACGATCAACGAAGAAGGGCAAAGGGCATTGGGCATCATTCTAGGTGATGCCCAAACTATCAGTAAACAAAGTTTGCATTCGGGCCAAATCCTACTTCTTGATATTATATGAATCTCCAACGTAGGCATACCTTTCGCCTTTTCCGTTAAATCTTCCAATAGTAAATAGTAACTATCTAAATTCTATCCCTTGTTGTTTAGTCATGGTATTTCTCCATCCTTGCTCCAGCTCCTCATTTTTGGAGCTCACTTTCCCTTTGGGTCGTATCATGAGGTGAGTTGTAGGTGGTTTGCGCGCATTTTGTCCACAGGAAGGAGAGAGGCTTCTGTTTTGCCATATGCAATACATGCGATATGTGGATGTATGTGTATGTGTGTATATATAATATATATATATTTATTTATTTATCTACAATTGTGATGTTATATATGGTCCATGGTGCTTGAATGCATACCGCATACATCCCATCCCCATACAGGATAATCTCAAGAAAATTCAAGAAATCTATTTCATAGTGTAGGGAACTGACAAAAAGCAGGGATCCTGTTGCGAATTCCTGTCCCAGCAAAGCTGCAAACTCTCCAACAACACAACACTTGAGCTGAAAACAGGTTTAAACCCAGTCTTGAAATGTCCCAGGGTCGTCTCCAGTGATACGCCATTCACTTCTCCGTCATACCTCATTTGTGCATTCCTTCGATGCACCACATCATCTGGAGCCGCTTTGTCGTCGAAACACAATCAGCCATCGGAGCCACTAAGGCAACGACTCTATGGTGTCAAGCCGCAGCAATAGATCCTCGTTCTCTTGAAGTGTTGGTGGCTTTGCCAAATTGAACTTCTTCTTCTTCAATCGAGTATAGACCAGAATGCCGGAAACTTGCACATCTTTGGGCGCATACCTGTGATGAATACTCCGCTTGCTTGATTATATCTGGTAACATATCATATTATCCAAATAACAACTTAAATACGACAACACAACTTAAATGTCGACAGATTCTCCAGGGTGCAATCGTGATTTTCCCAGAAGCAACAGTCGGCTGGAGGCAGTGAGCCTGCATGCGCTCACCGTGCTATTCCCCGGCAAGGCCTGATCTTTCGGGCATCCGGCAAAATGACGAAACGTGGCGAAACCTGGAGTTCGATCATGTTTCTATGCAATGACAAAGGCTTGCAAGCCAGAACTGGCCAGCTCATGCCAAAAGAAGAGCAGTTATACTGTCTACTCCATCATTGCACAAGTTGTTTCGTTCTTCTGAGCCTTGCCAGTGGCCATGTCAAGCAAAACCGATCCTGTCCCATGCTGAGGCAAGAGAACCAGGTGCTGTGCGGCACCTGAGCCAGCACTTGCCTAAAGCTTCACTTCCTTTGCTGGTGCATGGGTGGCAGTGCCTACCAGGAAATGCAATTTATGAAGCTGAGGCACTGGCGTTTCTTTAAATCCTCAATCTCCTTACTTGCCACTCTCTCTCTCTCATGGGTTAACATATCCGATTGGGAACCCTCATTCTTTGCAGAATCATAACCTTGGACTCTTAGACGGGGCTCCGTTTCAGGCTGAACAGAAACTTCGGTCATGTCAGCCATGGAGTGCACCGCTAGGGTGACAGGTCCACTGGCTCCTTCAGGCCCTTCCTCAGGCGATGGGGCCGAGAAAATCATCCACGGTTTGGGCAACGAAGCGGAAGCCAAGGCACAGTTCCAGAATCATCAATTCCTTAAGCTTCATCAAGAACCAGGGAAGGCAAACTTCCATCCATGTACTAGATGACAAAAGTGAACCAAATAATCCAGAACCAAAAGCTTCACACTTTTCGCGACCTGGCAAGATTCTATCTCCATGGCCTTCTCATTTAGACTACTCATCCTTTGAAGTCGAGCCACCTATCAACCGCTCCAAGATAATAGGAGAGGATTCTGCAGCAGTGTCCTGCCCACCCACCATAGTTGGCTCCTGGAAGGAGCCTCGGGCAATCACACGGCAGAACAACGAAAGTATTCGTACGACGACGGCTTTGAAGATGTGAATGATATCATTGCGCTTGAACGATTTGAAAGTTCACTGGCCCTGACATTCCAAATCCAAAGGATCTATATACCAGGTTTCATATGATTTCATTTTTGCACCTTTCCCAGCACTAAGTTGGTCAAGGTCCCCACTCCGCAACGTGACATGAAGCTGTCATGCGAAATGTGAGAGGCCCATTCCCATGACGCACATGCCGCCAACTTGCCTGTGCCAAGTTGAAACACACCTCCCTCAAAAAGTGCACCTTCTGCTGTTCCTTGGGGTGCATAGATTGCCCAGGGCCACGTTCCCCGGTCCAGTTGACCCAAACTCTGAGTCTGGGGCACAGTGTGGAGGGTGGCACGCTCTGTGGCCCCGCTGGATGGAGCGACATGAGACATGATCCATGTCAAATGAACTGGTCGCATCTGATCTCAGGGCTTTTTGAACAAGAAGTCAGTTTGTAGTAAAGGAAGGTTGGGGTGGCAGTGATGCCGTTGGTCTTTTTGCTGAGATGTGGAGTCTTCTGGCATCAGCCTGACATCTGCTATCGTGGTGGCAAGACCCCAAACGGGCTTGAGCGACCCATGCATGCGGGGTACTACTACTCAATGGCTACGGTCCCAACAAGGCCAAGCAAGCCTAATGGCCTAAGGATGCCTAAGGAATATCTGATTTGATCTCATCTCCAGTCTGCTCTCCTACTGTGCGGAGGCTTCTGCTCGTTAGCATCAGCTGACCCAACGACAGGTGACGCCATACACGTGGGCCGACTGCGTCGGTTGCTGTACAACTATGCTAATTTGGCCCATCCTTCTGCATCACGGACCTCGGCAAAGCAGCTGGAAAATGAAGCTACAACTAAGAAAGAGAACCCCTTTTTGCCCAACATGCCCGCGGCGCCGAATTGGGATTTCCACATGTTCCTTGCTCCACATCTATGCCGATAATGGCAACTCACCTGGTCCTTAAGTCTCCTGCTGAGGAGTTTGTGTCGTGCTGCCGGCCTCGGATGTTTGGATGCAACAAACCTCGTCGCGTGGTTGAAGTGGCAAACATGTGCTACGTTGCAAAGACGTACACTCTGGAAAAGGAAGGGGGTCGCATGAGTCACATGGAATTGGTATGTAACTGGATATTCCTTCGATTCAACTGTGGTTAAGCATGGTTAAGCTTTACCCCCAGCAAGGACTTCCTGAGAAAGCAGCGAGCCCAGTGCACCAGCAAGGGGTGCCACCCTGCAGTGATGGAGCAAAAGAGCGGGCCAAGAGAGAACCATAACTCGCGAGGCCACCAAAAATGATGAGGTCAGGACTTGGCATCTGCCTCAGCTTGACGGTGAGAACTCAAGGCTGCACCATGCTGCGTGCTGCATGGATGAATTTCACATCGTAAAGTTTCGTAAAGAAGATCAGAGCAGCTTCATGTTTGGTCCCGAGTTGTTCAGTGATGCTACATAGCTGGTTGAAGCCAGCTACTGAATCAAGACCCTCTTAAGGTCTTGCCCCTGCGCCCCAAATCGCACTCTGGGTGCTTTCACCCATAGCGATGCATTTCCTCAGGTGGCCCCTCCAAAAAACATGGCCCTACTCTCCAACTCGGAAACCCCCTTCATCACGCCTCCGAGAAGCAGTGCTTCAAGAGAGGGCTTGCTTCGCATAGCACGTCCCGCAGGGAATTCCTTGAAACCACCAGCTCGACCACCTGCTCTGGAGTGCCACGACCCTTCGATCGCTTCTTGCGAAGGTGCACCAGGCCCCGCTGCTCCAAAGCCGAAACCGCAGAATTCACTTGCGGCTTTGATGCTAAAGGTTGCTTCAGCCTGGCCAGCATTGCTTTGTATCTCTGGAAGAGATCTGTGAAGGCCACATCTTGCCGTTCAGATTGAGAAAGTGTGCCCAAGAGAATTTGATGCCCCGTTGGGAAGTGCCTGACCTCAGCTAAAGGATCATTGTCCGTTTGAGGAAGTCTCTTTTTGAGATCTGGTGCTTCCCCAGCTTCGGCTGCTTCCTTATGCCTGGTTGCTTCTGCGAAGCCATCCTCACACAATCGGACAATATGCCGGCAGTCTCCACTGTGCTTGGCAACCTTTCGAATGGACAGCTCAATCCCAGATCGGCCAAGTGCCTTCTCTGCCTGCGCACCCTCATTTCCAGCAGCTGCAAACTGTGCCTTGACAATGGCACGCAATTGGTCAGCTGAATACGGTTCAAAGAGCAAGGAAGCACACTGCCCTTGTGGCTGTTGCTTGCAAGCACGAATCAGCAAGTCAACCGCATTGGCGATCATGACGATTGCCAAGGCAGGAGCTTCAGGCTGCAGAACTAGATTGCAAAGATTGTCTAACGAATTCTCCCCAGCACATTGGGAAGGCTTCCGGACTAGCTGGTCAACCTCGTCGACCATAAGGATGACTGAGCTTCCAAGCTTCTTGAGACTCGAAGCTGCCACGCTCATCAAGCTAGACAGCGGGCTTTTTGCCGAGACTGCAGGTCTTGAAGAGCCCGTGGCATCAGTGCATACTTCAATAAGTCGAAGGTAGAATCCCGCCAGCGAACTTGGCTGCAACTGCTCCATGCAATTGATTTCCACCACTCGCGTTTTGGGGCATTGGGCACGCCATGCCCGTGCTGCACCTCTTGCCGATGAGGTCTTCCCGGTGCCAGGCCCACCACTGAGGTACAAGCAGTTCCTCTTGCCTTCTCCCAAGCAGCTCTTCAAGAACTCGTCCAACACATCACATTCTCGGTCTCTGGCCACCAAAGGGTAAGAATCCCTTGAAACCTGATCCAATAGAACCTCTGCTTGAGTTTGATGTGCCTCGGCCAACTCAGCGCTCACTTTCGGGCATTTGATGGGTGTTTCTGGCTCCAGATCTGAGAGTCTTCGCTTCCCACGCTGACGTCGCACTGGAGTCTCCATGGCTTTTGAGCCGGTCCCCACCCTGAGCCCTAAAGGGGATGGCAGGGCAAGCGGCAAGCACAAGAGATTGAACCACACATGATTGAAACCATGGAGTCCGAGGTCCCAGTCACCTATAGTGTTTAACAAACTTGCAAACTCCAGCCGGGAAATGTGGTCTGAGAGTAGCACTTCCAAGTGATCTTTTCTCCGTGACCTACCAAGGGTGAAAATTTAAAGTTTCAAGAACGGCTTCTCACACCTCCATTACTGTGACACCTACCTCCAGAATGCAAACATGTCTGGGTGGTTCAAGCTCGTCGTATGCCAAAACATGCCACAACTCCCAGGACAATCATGGCGCACCATGGAACGACTTGGACTTAGCGAGGGCGAACTGTCCTGGATAGGTGGCCAGCCTGCAGTGTGCAAGTAAGGAGCTCGTACCTTCCTCGCTTCCGGGCCACGCTCCCAAATCAGCTTTACCTGGCAGGGCAAGGACATGGGAGACTGTTGAAACAGATGCATAAGGCTAAGGAGTTCAAGGTTAGGGATGAAGTCAAAAAAACAGCAAAAAACATTTCAAGGCCGTGCCGACATCAGAACGCTGGTTTTGAACACATTCTGGAGGGGGGTCTACTCCCAAGGATTCAGGCTATTTGTGTCCTTCCAAGCTTGTAAAACTTGTAACTTTGGACCATCTTATAAGGCATCATACGTAGTGACCTAGTGCGCCTTTGTCATCAGCACCCAGAAGACTTACCCGCACGGCATCTACAGCATGACCCGCATGACCCTGATCCCATGCAAAGTGGCAATCTTCTACAGCACTGTGGAATCTACAATGTTGCTTTCTTTCCCTTAAAGCCAGTGCCTTGCCTGCCGAAGATGACGATCCTCACGAGGCAACAAATCCCACACGGAGACCAAGGAAGTCAAAAGCAGGAATACACAAACTCGGTTCTAGTTGTTTGCTCTACCCCAACCATTGAACATCCACCATGAAGTGCATGTTGCGATGAAATGGGACACCCGGCAAAAAAACACGTACAGCATCAAACATTATATATTCCTATTTGGAAGAAATCATTTGATATGAGCAAACTTCCACAGATGGGCTCGCTGGTATTCAAAACTGCTATACAAAATCAGACTGCCCACACCTATACAGTATATATATAATTTCCATGAAACTCTTGTCTCATAACCTTGTCAAATAATAACACTGCCTGCATTCCAACAATTCAATACAGGACTACTTGAATGAACAACTGTTAACACCTTACCGCCAGGCCCCAGTTGGGATAGAACTCTTGAACTAACATGAGTTAACACTTAACTGGCTCAATCTCCACAGCATCACCAGCTGAGCGACTTGATCCGCCAGGCGTGCACCTGTTGACGGACCCCCCGGGTACCAAAGGCGCCCGTCCGCAAACGCTCAAACGTATGATATATATATATATATTTGCAATCTCCAAAAGCAAATTGATTCTTGTATTATTGGATGCTGCAAATATGCTACAACTGAGCAAATCCTACGACATACTACAACTTTTGGCTGGAATATGCACCTTGAGCGGAAGTTGCTAGCTTCGCAGCAGGTGCACAATGTTCCCGTTCGATACCCCAGCCTCAACCCAAAGCATTGCTCACCTCTTGCCAAACACACCTGCAAGTGCTATATAAGGTCCTCGCTACCATGTGTGTCATGAGTTGCAGATGACTTGGAAAGACCTCGGGACATGCTGAGCCACATGTTCTGGCTTGGTGCTTTTCCTCCGGGGGCCCGCAAACTGTTGAGGAGCAGTTTGTTGTGACATGACCCTCACGGATTTTATTCATTCATTGATAGTTCTGGCTCGCTGACTTTTACTTGTCTCCTCAAGCTTGGCTAGTCTTGACATTTGCCCATTTTCCTCCAAAGCATGATCCCAGAGATGGCGACATAAGGCTTTGGGAGCCTGCTGGCAAGTCCAGGAAAATCAAAAGTGCAAGTTGGCCATTGAGTCTCCAAGTCTGACAGTCAGATTTCACACCTCTGGGGAAAGTGTAGGGGCTCGGTCCTGATCAGCTTTGCATTGGATATTTCAACATGCTTGTTGAAGTGTTTCTTTTCCACATGTCTGATCAACGTCTTCTATGATCTTCACTGTTCTCTCCTCTGACGAGTCAATGTCCAACTGCAAATTGGCATCGACATCCTGAGCTTGTGCTATCCACATTAACAAGCAAACACCCCAAGCCCTTAAAAGCATTGAGATTCCGACACGCACGATGCCAGGCAGTGCCTCAAAGACTCAAAACGTCTCACATATGCTTTAGCACATCACCGCGCTTGGTCACAACAAAGAGATAGATCCCGCGCACTGCACTTTTTCACCTTGCATACCTGGTCTTTGCGAGCCGGCATCTTGTTTTGACTTGCTCATCACTGGACGACTGCAATTGTTTGGTTTCCTGTCTTTCTCCAGCATGCTTGTACGGTCATCCCAAAGTGTTCTGCTCCGGTGACAGTTGAGAAGCCTGCCAAGGTGCGCAGGCTCCTGCAAGACTCTAGCCTGATGCCAAAGTCTAGACTAGGTTGCTAAGTTGTGAACGCTGCGGCCACATGCTTTCGGGATCGCGCACATTCATTCTACAATGAGACGTGGTTGTGTGCAGTCTCAGTGTCACATGCGGCTGCGCACCAGCGCGCAAGCGCAGCTTCTTCGGGGTCTTAGGCTGCCCCGCAAAAAAGCCGCGCCGTTGGGTCTGTCTCACTCAGCATCTTCCCCTGAAGCAGTCAAAACAGCTCGTCATTCATCTGATATAATTCATGGATATTCATGGCATTTTGGATCGCTCAGCCTAAAATTTGCCCATGGAGGACCCCAAATGGTTCCAACCGCAACATATAAGATGCACCGGGTCACGTGACTCCCCGCAATGCAGGTTGAGACTGGAATCGGCACCGAAGAACTGGTGTGCTGCTTCAACCAGTATGCTCATGAATCACTGCCTCTCATGTCGCTGGGGCGAGCGGATCAACATGTGACTCCACCGGGGCTATCCAGCCTTTTTCCTTCGCCTTGGCTTTCTTGTCCCTCGCAACGAACCAGCTTGCATTGGACAAGCTGGGAGTATATACTTTTTTTGTCGGTGACCGGTGACCGGACCGGTGACCGGGCCGGGACCGGCCCGGGCCGGAGACCGGACCGGAGACCGGACCGTGACCGGGCCGGTGACCGGACCATGACCGGGGCGGTGACCCTACCGGCGACCGGGCCGGGACCGGGCCGGGCCGGAGACCGGATCGGAGACCGGGCCGTCACTCCAACTTGACTTACCCCTTTGTCACCCTTTTGTGGGCAATGCAGGGGTAAAATTTAAAGAAGGAAGTGGCCCTCAACTTGACCCACCCTTTTGTGGGCCATGCAAGGGCAACGCAGGGGTAGAATGTAGAGAAGGATGTTGCCTTTTCAACTTGACTCACCCCTTTGTGTGGGCAATGCAGGGGTAAATTTACAGAAGGAAGTGGTCATTCCAACTTGACGCACCCTTTTGTGGGCCATACAGAGGTAGAGTTTAGAGAAGGAAGTTACCCTTCCAAGTTGACGCGCCCTTTGGTGAGCCACCCGACGATAAAATTTTGAGAAGGATGTTGCCACTTCAACTTGACTCACCCTTTATGTGGGCAAAGCAGGGGTAAAATCTAGACAAGGAAGTGGCCCTTCCAACTTGACTCACCCTTTTGTGGGCCATGCAGGGGTAAAATTTAGAGAAGGATGTTGCCCAAGTTGGGTCACCCTTTGGTGGGCCATGTAGGGGTAAAATTTAGAGAAGGAGGTTGCCATTTCAACTTGACTTACCCCTTTGTGTGGGCAATGCAGGGGTAAAATTTAGAGAAAGGAGTGGTCATTCCAACTTCACTCACCCTTTTGTGGGCAATGCAAGGGAAAGTTTTAAGAAAAATGTTGCATGGATAAAAAAAATTGTTGACTGGTTGCAGGTTCGGTGGCCGGCGTTGGGGGGGCGGTGACCGGGCCGGAGACCGGGCCGGAGACGGGCCGCAGACCGGACCGGAGATCGGATCATGACCGGTCCGGGCCGGTGACCGGTGACCGGGCCGGTGACCGGACCGGTGACCGGAAAACAAAAAAAGTATATTATGCAAGCTGGAGGCGTTCCAACAGTATCAGCCAAGGTTCTTCTTCATGGCTTTGGCTGGTTCTGCTTTCTTCTTTGCCAAGGGTTTCTCCGGCTCTGAGGCTTTCTTCTTTGATGCTTTTGTGGTCTCCGATGTCTCTTCTGCCTGCACTCTTCTATGCCGTGACGCCGCGATTGCTGACTTCACTCGAATGCCGCATTTGAGAGGCTATAGTGTCTACAGTCAGTCTTGCACGGATGACAGGCGCTAGTTTCGATTCGCTCAATCCTATGCAACGCTCCAGGCCTTTCTCTTCACAGGCACGGCAGCCAAAGCCTTGCCAGACAATGAATACGGAGGTGCTCTCAAACTACGGTTACCGTACACTTGCCTGTCTGACAGCATTACAGGAAGAACAAAGCAAGAAGAACCCAACAAGAAAGCCCTTGCACTCCAGCAAGCGGAGCGCCTTCGCTGCATTGACAAATTCCTGCGGGTCCTATCCGGCAAGAACTACAGGCTGCAGCATTGAGGCTGTGCACTCCGACAGAGAAGGCAAAAAGGCTTGTGTCTCAAGTAGTGTGCACTCATATATCCTTGTCTTCCAGAATGCACTTCTGGTAGGCCTGCAAGTTGGTTCATTCACAATTGGTTCATTATGCATAAATATATAACTATATAGATAGTTATATAGATATTACACATACATCATACATATTTGTGTTGCAACATGTTGCAACTCATTCCCTAAGTTGTCCAACTGAATCTTTTTCAAACATAAGAAATTTCAATTCTAATTCACCATGGCAATGCCAATCTCATTAATCAACTCAATGAGACATTGCACGCAAACAGGTTCTCAAGCTCCTTTGGAACACACGCTGCCTGACCGAGGAGGACCTCCCAAACTGCCTTGGTAGCTTCTGCCCCGCCTCAGTTCCAAGAGCCTTCCTGCTAAGAGCAGGGATCTGCCTATGTAAGCACGAGTCACCAGCTCAGGCAACCACCCTCCACCAGTTCAATCGTCCAGTTTGCTTGATTTGTTGAACTCACGGTCCGAAAGCAAGCGCAGCTGTCCACCTGCTACGCAGGCTGAGGAGTTGGATCTGGCGGCATTTAGTTCAGATTTTGATTGATGCAAGGGGTGCTGGCAAGATGGGTAGATAATCAGTCAGTGATATATAGTCAAAGCCTTTTTTTTGCTAGTCTTTTCCAGCTGAAACGTTTCCACGGCACGTCTTACGATGTCTTATGCATGTCCTGCTACCGTTTGCTACCCAGCACTCCAAGGGCCAAGCAAACTTGCGGTAAGGCCTGATAAGCTTTGAAGTCAAGCCCTCTGCAATTCCATTCGTGTCCGTGTGCAAGAAAACAGAATAATAAAGCCATATGACTGAATTCTTTTTGACCAGAACTGGACAGCCGTGGTGAAAGTCCAGTTGAGATCGAACCCATGTTCCAACAAAAGGCAAGAAAACCCTCGTGCACCAAAAGCTGTGCGATGCAAACCAAGAACTTCTGAAGGACTCACTCAAAGAAAAACAAGACTGCCACTGACATCAGTGAGACATTACATCATTTTACATCCATGATCTACTAACATCACAATATCAAGCCAAGTTGCCCCAAGATGGGCTTGAAATTCATTGTCCAATCTCTTGGGATCCAAAAGCCGTTGCCGTTGCCTTTCTTTGCCTCCTGCACACTGTATGTCAAAAAGTCCAAAAGTCTCCGGTAGAGATGGAGCCCCAAACATTCCCAACAAGATTGGGCAGTTGATGTACATTGACCCACTCAAGATGAAATCAGGGGAAGCACACTCTGCTGGGGCATGTCAGTTTTATCGAGAGCTCCTCCGACAAGCACAAGTCACAGAGTCCTCAGGATTATTCAGCGCATTTTTGATCAGTGCGATGACCTCGAAAACTGCCCGCAAGAATCAAAAGCAGCACCTTGGACCTTGAGTCACTGACTGGTGCTTAGTAAGGAATCAGGGAATGGATCCAAAGGAATCTCTCTTTGGGGGCTCATTCCCTCATCCCCTACGAGTCACACCAGTCCGGTGAAGGGATGGACGCACCTTCTTCGCAGCTGCCGCCTTCTCCTCGCAAACGCCAGTCTTGCAAGAATCACTTGAGAGCAAAGGCACACCAGTTCAGTGCCGCAGTTTCACTTTGCAAAGAAGGCACCAATACTGTAGGCACCATGTTCACAATGTCAGGGCTCCTGAGGTGTGGGCGGAGGTCGAGGTTCAGGCTTTCCTGCTGTTGGAGATGGCAGGGGCTGCAGCCACCAGCCATGGATTGCTTCAAAGATCAGCAACACGGCACGAGACCCAAGAATCAATGTAAAGTTTGCCATGTGTTTCATTCACAAGCCATCGACAAGCACAAGCAACCAACAACCATCTACATTTACACCGCTTCGTGACGAAGAACTCTCGCCATGCTCGCAAAGTGCTTTGGGCCAGGTAGGCCAGGGTAGGACATGAATCGCATGGAGTTAACGGGTGCGTGCTCCCTGGCGTCATTTTCCAGCTTCCAGGATCTACAGTGCCTGGAAAAAGAGCCTCAAATAGCCTCAGCCTGCTGGGTAATTATAGACTTGTGACATCTTGTGACTTTATATAGCAAAATCAATGCAAATCAACGGAAATACTGAAACAACCTTCGGATGCCCCAGCCTACATATTGCACATCGTCTGCACAGCATACCACATTCATGCCTACTGGCCTAGTGATGCCGAGGTGTTTGGTTGTATCATCTGCCCTACTGCTAGTGTGCACCGGGAAACAAAAACACACACTGTTGCTTAGTCTATTATATATACAGTATACATATATATATATATATAAGGACTCACACCCTGTGTTTTCACCCGCGCATGCAGTTATGTGTCAGAAAAACGTTAAATTGGAACGTAGGATCGAGAAAGACTTACTCTTTGTTTCTCGGGTCAAAACCCTTGGAGGCGCAGCGACCTACCTTCCAGCCAATCCAAGAGAAAGTAGGCCGCCCCTCTTTACCCCCCAAGCGTCCTGCCAGCCCAGGAACGCTTGGGCACAGGTAACCTTTAAAGTCTTTCTCTAGACACGAAATTAATTTCCTCCCCGCACTGGCAAAAAACACCTCACTTCCACCTCCCCCTTCCCTGCTTTAGCA